TTATGATAGAAGTCATATTTCGTGAAGTTAGTGTCTGTGTCTGTTTTCAGGCATTCAACTTCAGATCGGAGATGTTCATTTTCTGTACGCAGTGTCCTAAGGTCAGAATGCAGCGATTCTAAAGCTTTATTCTTTGAACAAAGGGTTTCCTCTAGTTCGGACATTCGTTGAGTTAGTGATTGTACAAGAACTCGAAGCTCTACCAAATTAACTTTAGAAACATCGGTAATACATGATGAGCTTTTATTTCTGTCAAACACATTGTCAATACCAGATTTGTCCCCATGAATGAACATATGTAGAGTGAAACAATCCCTAGCATATTTTTCAATACTTGGACTACTCTTAGTGGACTTTCTGTTTATTAGCTTTCCAGGTGGACAGTCTGGTTGATCTTTGGCCCGTGAGCTTAGTATATAACGGTACCAGCAGACCATACTCTCGTTGTGTGAACACAGATCCAGTAACTTACCGATGTATAAATCTTTCGGCATATTTTGGAGCACTTTATCTAAATTTGCCACATCAGTTTGGTTAAGAACCTTATCATTGTCAATGCTTGAAGGAATCTGTGGACTTTGCATGATTCCACAGTTTTGGAGGTTCGTGCTGCTCTGCTTTTGATTTGTATTGTTAAATGGACTTTTGAGCTTTAATACTGTTCATTATCTCCATGTTTTCAAATAAATGAAAGGACACTTTGTTTGTGTTCAGTATAAAAAAGGATAACGTTTGGTAATTTGTAAACCTAGTAAATTCTGTTTTTTTCCCCTGAGTTTTTATTTAGTAGAAGATAAGTTTAAAAAAAACCCAGAATACTATCTTTTTCGATTTACCGTTCACATATTTTTATTTTAAAACCTCTGTTTTCAGCTTATTTCTACTTGTAGAGTCCATGATTGTACAAATATTAATCTAATTTACCTTAAAGGTAAGCTTTCACATTTAGTTTCGCTTACCTTTGGCTGGGGCCTCTCGGGAGATCTTTAAGGGCCGGTACACACGGTAAGGCTTGCCTTATAAGTCTAAAACCTTACGTTTTGCAGGACGTACGGCTTTCCTGTCCACACGCTAAGGCAAGACTTACAATATTATGAACAATATTTACATAAAGTCCATGTGTTTTTGAGCCATAAACAGTGCGCATTATTAAACGGAATAATATATTACTAGCTAGGACTTTGAAAAAGTTTTACTGACCAGTGCATCCACACTTCTTAACAAAAGAGATTAACTGAAGTATTTGCAGATAGTCTCATTATCTTAACTCGAATATACTTGGTGTTTTCTTCAATATTCCAACTTGTATGGTTTTATAAAAATATATTGAACTTTGGGTAAATGGTTTTCATTGGTCAAAAAATAGATGTCAGCTAAGTCTGGTATTAAGAAATACTAGTAGAGCAGTGTTCTATTCCAAAGTCAGACTTGTAAGGCTCCAAAAAACGTGTATTAAGGGTGTACACACGGTAAGGCTAGAACTTAAGTTCCATGACTTATAAGGCAAGCCTTACCGTGTGTACCGACCCTAAAGGATCAGGTCATATTTTCTAATCTCGGAATATGATAAAAGCGGAGGCTTTCATTCGCAGAAAGGTGAGTTTCCTAAGCTTTTTAAGATTTAATTGGCGCTTAGTTTTAGAAACAAGAAAAAACGTGTATAAAGCAATACAAACGTTAGACTATAGATAAACAATGGTCAGAAAAGTTCTCTTGAGATTTCAGTTCAATTCAACTCAAAAGTGGATAATTCTCATAAAGCGATTTATTCTTATTAATGCTGTACAAGTAAAATTAAATGAGCCAATTTACAATAAAAAGAAAAACTTCACTTGGAGATAGAAATAATCTCAAAAACTGACCTGCATTTCCTAAGAAAATTTAGTTCATTCACTTTTCATTTAAGCAGGACGAGATCTTTACTTGACAATTTCTGTTGTACGTGTCATTGTTTTTTAGTGCTTTGTATGGAATGTGAAGATAAGGAACATTTATCATTTATAGAAGTTCATAGGAACAAAACAAATTGGGAACAGAGCTAACGAAGACTTCGGAGGTTAAAGCAATTTCTATATAGAAGTAAGCTTAGCATATCCTGTCGGCAGGTCCCATCCGCCGTTTGCATCTTGTCATGATCAGTAAAACAGAAAAATCTGTAGACAATAGTGTAAAAATAATGGCCTACTATTTTTTCTTTCTGAAAAACTCAGTAAGCATTACACTTGACAATGGGTTGTAGTGTAGGGCAGCGCCGCGAGAATTCCATCGGCATCGAAAGAAAGTTTTTTGACTTGCCTAGATAGCCGAGCGGTCTAGCGCGCTGTTTCTGCATTGCTAGGAGACAGATTCCGAAGGTTGAGAGTTCAACCCCGGGCTGGTACGGAAGTGGGTTTCCATGTAAAAGTGAATTTCTTTGTGCTTTCTATATATATATATATATATATATATATATATATATATATTTTTTTTTTTTCTACATCAGTTATGACCACAACTTGGTCAAACAAAAGGTACTGTAGTCGATATTTGAAGTTCAATACTTTAAATATATCTGGGAAGTCTTTATTCCCAACACAAACCATTATCATTTCACAGTTCTAAAAATAATGAACTTTCAAATTGACACAAAAAGGTGTTACACTCCTGACATGTTAGCATCATTTTTGTGCATAACGTATTTTGTACGTTGAGAAATCAAGAATATATGGCAGATATTTAGACAATATCTCAAGACATGTTGAGACATAGTAAATTATATTCACTGTCTGATGTTTTAGTACTGGATGTTGCTATGTATCTGGTCATTGTTTTTAAATTCATTCAATAGCGTATTGTTACATAAAAAATGAGGTTGGCAATATATAAAAGTTAAATTGTTGCGTTCAACAAAGTTTTGTTGTTAGTTTGCCATTAATGTATTTTTCTTTTAAGGTACGCAAATATGAATAATATATATACAGTATTAATTTCATTTCAATGTTTATCCATAACGAGCCTTTAATATAACTAATATCGAAATAAATTTGCCGAGTGGTCCAGCAAGCTTTAAATTGGCAGCTGAACTAACGACTAACAGGGGTACAAGAGCTTTAATTTAAAAGGAGGGTATAGGGGTTTATGGTAGAGAAAATTAACATCTCATACCTAATGAAGGTTTTGCAGTACTCTAATCTAGACAAACAAATGATCAAGATTAATAAGATATTTTTAAAGTAAAAATTAAAAAAAAAGTTTTGTGGCTATGTTCCTCCCAACCTCTAAAAAGTCCTGGATCCGCACACGTCTAAGTGCATTAAACTGAATACACTTACTGATAAGACGACACCTAGTGATAAGTATCCTTTCCTGTTTTCTTCTGCTTCTTCTTATTATTTAAACTGCTTCCAATGCTTAGGCTGCTCAGGTGTGTCAACTTTCTCACCCCCCCTCCCCCGCCTGATGTAATTATAGTAACTTTTGATGCTACTTGTTTCCTTATCTTATCAATAGAAATTGCTGAATTATGATGTTTTTTCCTCGCTTTTCTTCTCCTTAGTTAGAAGTTTATTTCAGCATTCAAATTTTGAATGTGGTCATATAAATAACATTTGTTTTATAGTTTTGTACTTGAAATCTCGAATACAATGTACATCGTTGATTAATATTAAGTTTTAAGTAATGGATGCATTGCATTAGGTCTATAATTTTTTTTCAAAAATTAATTTTATTTTTCTTAATGAAAATATTTATTCTTTATTCGCTACTTCATTGCAGCCTGGAGGACCGGGCTTCTCTATACATATACGATTAAGTGTCAGTGTATGGGGATTGAGATGGGAGAAGTTATTCAAAATTAAAGGTTTTCTAAATATTGAAAAGATTGTAAATCATAATGTTCTTTCCTTTTATGAATTACCAGATACATAATATATTTACTTCCATAAAGTGAATCTGTCAAAATAGATATGTTTTTCACATTTAATATATAAAGTTGCTTATCATTTACTATGGAAAAAACGACAAGTCCCCTTTTTTAAAACATCGAATTTTACATGTCGCATAAAGACGCATTCTACACAATTCGTGCTCTATATTCATAAAGTAAATTACATTTTGTAATATCTAGGTGATGCATATGTCTAGTTTAAATTTATGCAAGCAACAATTACTTGAGGAATTGATAAAATTTAAAAGTATATCTTTTTTTCTATTTTCATCCGACATAATTTTAAATAATATTCTCGACTATCGTCTCCATCATTTAGACGTATGCCTTTTTCACGCATATCGAAGCGGTTTGATGATCCAAAATCATTTCCATTGTTTAATTTACTTATTTCCCGGGCGATAATTGATGGTTACATAATTGTTTTCTTGTTTTTCTTTAACTAAACTTATTTAGACATCAATGTAGGATTCATGATCACGACTGCTCCCCTCATTCTGCCATGATACACTGTAAGGGGTGTGTTAAAATTTTATCTCAAAGTGTAATAAAAGTCCTATGGAAACAAGATTAACCAAAATTCTTTGTGTTCAAAATTGTTTATAGTATTATTGCATGAAGTATGTCAAGAACTGTCTTAAGGTTTATTATACAGATATAGTTCTGTAAATGCCGTGACTGATCTGATGATTTTCATTGTTTTATTTTAAGTTCTCAGGACAGGCCCCCCAAAGTTCTGTGAAACACAGCCTGGCTTATAATTATCATAATCAGAGTAAGCATTACACCGTTTGTCTTTATGCTTATTAATATAGCATTCATAAAACAGCATCGAAATTGTAAGCCTATTTACTTATCATATACATATGCTGTTCATTTAATGTTTCATCCACTGAAATTTTATGCTATATTTATCAATGACATTTTCGTTTAAAGACATTTTTCTATGCAAATGTAAAGACAGTGTAAAAATAACTAACACACAATGTCTGCTTTGAGGTTTCTTTATTGCTTATAACTGCCACCTTATTTATAAAAAAAATTATGCGTGTATAGGATGAAAACATAATTGTTAAAAAAATTAATTCAGTGGTAGAAATATTGAAGAAGGAACTTAATGTAATTGTCTAAAAATATATTACTTGAATACGAAAACAACAAAAAGTTTCTGTTTGTTTGACAAAAAAAAAAAAAAATATCAGATTTGTGATGAAATATCAGATCTGATTATAAATGATCTCTAGTTTTTGTGTCTGATCATCATCACAGTCTGCTTTAATGCTTCAGTTTTACGTTTCCAGTGGTACCATACCGGGTATTGATAACCAGAATCACCAGACTGTCCGTACATTCCGTTCAGGTTTGAGTTGGCACAGGACCTGTACCACCAGGCTCCGTGTCGTGATACAGCACAGTTACCACCACTATACCTGTCGTTGTCCTGGTCTTTAGTGGTAAACTTCATTCCATTGTGAGGATAAGTCAAACTGTCACCTACAACAGAGAATTGATACTGTTTTAATTTATAAATCAATGATGAAATAAACATAACATCATAACCTTCACCGTGATCACTATTGTCTTTGACTAAAGAAAATTGAAGATTATAGTGTATTATCAACATACAAATGTTAGTGTAATATATCATTTTTTTTATAGCATATTATACATTCTAAAGTAAAACTAGTATCAAAGGCATTCTTAAATGTAATTTTAAAAAATGTGTATGAACGTGAAATCATGTATTTCTAAGAATGTATTTTGATCGTTGATGATATCACAGGTAGTTTTAAGTATATATATATTTTTTGTTTTGTTATTTTGCTTTATGATTGTACAATTAATGATTGAATTGAATTGTACATATTTTTTTGATAAAGTCAAAAGGATCGGACACAGTTAAGTAACTTTGATAGTCCTCTCCTGATACAACATTTTTAAAATTGCCAAAATTAACGAAACATATATACATACATGGTCTGATAAATACATTGTATACATCGTAGTAAAAGAGAGGAAAAAAATTAATTTTTTAAATGTACAAATATAATTCGAGATGGTAAGAGAGATAGAGAGAGAGAGAGAGAGAGAGAGAGAGGTAAACTTATTTTGAAAAACGACCTCATTCATTAAAGAAAGTTTATATAGTTAATGATTTTAAAGGTAGTTATACCGAAATGAGTCCTCGTGTATATTTGGTCTATTAGTATTGCAATACTGAATATTCAAGGAATGACAAAATATTTACCCACGTTACCTAGGTTGGGAACTCATTGAATGTTTTTTGTTGGAGATTAAATGTTTAATCCATTTTTTACAAGTATAACTTGCGTAGCTATTCAATTTATTTCGCATAATATAATTTTCTATCGTTTCAAGTGTAAATATTAAGATAATATCCATTCAAAAATGTCTTTACAATATGCAAAATTAATATGTGTCGTCAAGCAAACGCTCTTGATTTAAGTCAAATTGTGACTTAAGCAACAAATTTTACATTATTTGAACTAAATTTTTCTATCCATTCAAAATAATCTAATTGAAATTACAAACTGAAATTTCAATCCCTTGACCTTGTAATGACTGAACATTATATGTTGCATCAGCGTTATGAGAACACCTACCCGCGGTTCCTGAATACCCCGTCACAGTGAGTTTGTATTTAGTGCCTTCGTTCCCGACGTAAAATGTGGAGTACTGAGCGTATGCTTTGTCGGCATTAAATCTTTGTAGCTCAACCCGGAGTTCCTGGTCTTTTTTCTTTGTCAACTCATGGATTGCGTCATTTCCTTTAAAGGAGTAAAACAGAAAACTACTTAATTGTAAATATTTTTTTCGAATAGTTGTTTTATTAATGTGATTTGTTGACGTGAAGACAAATATCGTATAACTAGACAGACTTGTGATATATTGTTGATCAAATAGTAAGAAGAGACATTGAAGCTGAAATGTGTCAATTTTTTATCATTATATTCTACCATATTGCGACTGTAGTTTACTTATTTCTTTTAAAATTATAACATATGTTGTAGATGAAATGTCTTTCACCTTTATTACGCAAGCAATTTTGAAGTGACATATAAATAATCCCGTTTCATTTGTAGTCTTTAGTGAGCATCAAAGAATCGCTAAATTATTTCTCGCTAAAATGAAATGCCAATTTTAAGGTTAAATCGCTAAATGTTCGAGAGAGAGAGAGAGAGAGAGAGAGAGAGAGAGAGAGAGAGAGAGAGAGAGAGAGAGAGAGAGAGAGAGTCAGCATCATCAGTATCATGTCATCTGTAACTGTATATAATACCGCAAGAAAATCCGAATCCATTGTGCATTTGATCTTAATTCTTTTTATGCCCCCGGATCGAAAGATCCCCGGGGGTATATGGTTTTTGTCCTGACTGTCTGTTGGTCTGATTTTCTATGTCTGTCTGTTTTCAGTTTTAACCTAGCCCAAAACTATGGACTTAAAGAGGTACGTTTGAAAAGCCCTAGAAGATTTAGTATTGACCAAAAGGCATCTGAGTACCAAAAGGCCTACCAAATCACCAGATCTGACTCCCACTGAACACATTTAAGATTGTTAATTGGAATATCAGCCCCCCCCCCTTTCCACGCAGTTTCAACTAAAAAGAAATATACAGCAAGTGTGGCGGCAGATATGTCATTCCTTTATTCAGAGGTACATTGTATCCCTGAGGAAATGATGTCTTGCATTAATTAGAGCGGGTGATGGTCTCACACTCCATACTGATTATTTTATGTGAATTTTTATTTGGAGGGCACATCATAAAGTCTGACAAGATACTTGCATGAAATTTACGCTATGCACTTTCTGATTAAAATTAGATCCACAATTCTATTTAAGATAAAGAATAATAGATAGCCAGACATTTGGAGAAAATTGCGTGTTTTCTGCATTACGTTACTTAAGTTCATCTATTTATTTCAATTGTTATAAAACACATAGTGTAAGAAGTTTGTGCTAATGCAAGACATAACTGATCACTTCTAACTTTATATGCTACTTAATATTTGTATCAAAGGCTAAATAAGAAGAACTGTTTTTCTTTTAAAGGGTACTTACTGTGACGTAGTTTATATTGGGTTTCAGCCACCCCCATTTTTTTTGTATAATCTATCAGTTTATATAGTTTATATATCATATTGTTATATAATTTATGATCAAAGAGAGGTAACTCTTGGATTTGTATAAATCCGGAATGTGGGGTATATTTTGGGTTGGACTTTATAACTACTGAAACCCGCCAAATAAACATAACGTGTTTCACCTCTCCTGTTCTTTATAGGTAAGAACTCAAATTTATACATGTTAAAATGTTTGTAACTGTTTTCTTGATATATAATATGTTTGATATAAAACATTTGTTCTTCGAAATATTGTGATTAGGTGAATTTCAATGTATTAGTGAATATTTTGATGCAGCAGCATGGTCTAGTCACGTGGTTCGAGTTCAGTGTAAAGTCTTTATTTTGAGTTTAAACAATAGTAAACCAATTATATGTATAGAATTGTCATGTTTATTATCACGGAAAGTATTAGCTAAACGTATAGATTTGATTTCCCAACGAATGTATAAAATTTCAATTGTTTCCGGAATTAGTTGTTTTGCTCAGTTTTGAGTCATGTATTAGAGTTTGTAATCTGTTTCCGGTTTGAGGCAAAACGTAAACAAATACTGTTGTGAATGTGTTTTGGCTGTTTTGGACATATAGATATGGTATTATTGAATATTTTATTGATAAATTATCAAACGAAAGTTGCTTGTTACATGTTTTATTCTAGTCAGTAATATTTTGATGTCATAGTAAATTAGTTATTGTAAATCCCCTAGACCAAATGAGTGCATGTATATGTAATAATGTATATGTTGTTTGTTCGACTATATAACTACTGAAACCCGCCAAATAAACATAACGTGTTTCACCTCTCCTGTTCTTTATAGATTCTGCCAGGCCAGGGTAACATTTTGGGGGCCAAGCCGGGATCTTATCATGGCAGAGTTGACAGAGGAAATGCTGGAGGTGAGATCAAAGCTGATGATGGCACCATTGGATGTACTGAAGGGAATTCTGGAGGAATTTGGGGAGACTGTTGATACTTCCAAGGGTCGACTAATGGTGGCTATGCAAGCAGATCAATTCTTCATGAAGGAGATGGAAGGCACACAGTCTGGTACTACATTGCTTTCAGTAAAATTCACTTTAGCAGAGGCAGCTAAGAAAGAACTTGAAAAAACTGTGGGAATGAAATCAGAAACTGAAAGTGCGAAGGACACTAAGTCTCCAGGGATTTCAGAGGAAGAAAAAGAAAAGAAACCGGAAGTCAAGAAAGAAAATCCCACAGCTGTAAAGCTACACAAGGACTTTAAAATTAGCGGCCAGGTTGATTGTAAGGCAGGGATTTCTTACACAAGCTTAATTCGACAGATCGAAACTGGTAAACAGAAGGGATATTCGGAGGTTGACATCATTGATGGTGTGATCAAGGCAGTTGTACCATCCTCGAGTCTTCGTAGTTACCTTGATGGACGACCTGACATAAATCTGGCTACTCTGAGAAGTATTCTAAGAGGACACTACGCAGAAAAAAATGCTACTGAGTTGTATAGTGAACTCGCCAGTGCAACCCAAAATCCGAAGGAGAACCCTAATGATTTCCTTTTGCGTGTGATGGACCTCAGGAACAGGATTCTGTTTGCTTCGCAGGAAGATAACAGTGAACTCAAATACAGTCCAGAACTGGTTGCTGGTCTATTCAGAAGAACAGTTTACACAGGGTTACGGGACACAACATTACGACATGAGATGAGGAAACATTTGGACAAAGTGACTATATCTGATGCGGAGCTCATGCATGAGCTGAATCAGATTCTTATACAAGAGACTGAGAGACTTAACAAGCTCCAGACTAAACACTCAGTGTCTACCTGTGAGATCAACTCTGTGAAGGAGGCCGTGAAAAATGACCTCGCCAGTGAAATCAAATCCTTACGGCTTGAGATGAATAAACTGAAGGAACTGGTCGGACATTCCCAAGGTGACGTGAGGACACAAAAAGTAAACACAAGCAGACCAAGTTGTGCGGACTGCCAAACCACCGGCAGGCGTTGTGACCACTGCTGGACCTGTGGTGGATCCGGTCATCGTCGTCAGCAGTGCCCTAACAGAAAACCACAGCCATCGGGAAACCGCAGCGGGTCGTCTTAGAGGGACAGTTGGCGGCCCAGCAACAGAAATGTCCCGCGAGTTGCTTAAATTGTCATTGTGGACTGTCAAGTGAAACTATCAAAGTTTGTGCAAAATGTCATTTAGCCACCTATTGTAGTGTTAATTGTCAAAAGGCACATTGGGTTGAACATTGTAAAATTTGTAATGCTGTCAATTATATGAATACAAAATTTTTTGCTGAATGTCAACCTAACAATTTTCCTACAATGTCTGTAAATGAAATCAAGGGTGATGTGTATGATATTGGGCCAAACATTGTGAAACTTGTCAGTAAGCCATGTCATGTATCTGTTTTATTGAATGAGAAACCTGTGAAAGCATTGTGGGACACAGGGGCCCAAGTTTCATTATTAAGTAAGTCATGGGTCATGAATTATTGTCCAGATTTAGTTGAAAGTGTAAAGAGTGTTGATGAGTTTTTACATGCAGAGAATTTTTCATTAGTGTCTGCCTCTGGATCAGATATACCTTTTGAAGGTGTTCTCACTGTCAGTTTAAAACTCGTAGAACAAGGAAGCCCAATTCATGTACCTTTTCTTATCACCAATGTGTCTGGTATGAATGAACCCATTCTGGGGTATAATGTTATACAATACCTGTTACAATCTTTACCTAGAAGTGATGCTGTTGACTTGTTAAAGTGTACTCTTCCAGCAGCTGATGAAGCTCAGGTCAACGCCCTCTACCGAGAGTTGAAAGATACGGGAGACGGAGCACTGGGAATGGTCAAGGTAGGACGCAGGAATATAACTGTACCAAGACAGTCTTTGGTCTTCATCAAAGTACCATTTAAGGCCAGACAACTTCAGCATGGCACTAAGGCTGTCTTCATTCCGTCTCAAGAATTGGATGCATATGGAATTACATCACAGGAAATGTTTATCGACGTGAATCCAAAACGTACTAGACACATCAAGTTGTTGTTGACTAATCCATCCAAAACGGACGTGGTCATTCCAAAAGGTACTCCCTTAGGACACGCAGAAAGGATTTGTTCGTCAATTCACTTTGAGACTACAGGAGTTAACAGTGTTCAGACAGTAGTGAATAAAGTGAGTACTAAAAACAGTGATAAGTGGGATCCACCTGTTGACCTCTCAAACTGTTCCCTTACCCCAGACCAGAAGGTGAAAGTTCAGGAACTTTTGAGGGAGGAATGTGAGGCGTTTACATGTGATGATGATGATATCGGATGTGCCGTGGACCTGCAGTTGGAGTTGGAACTGATAGACAAAGAACCAGTACATAGTTCTTACATGGCTGTACCGAGGCCTCTGTACCAAGAAGTAAAGGATTACATTGCCAACTTGTTACAGAAACGCTGGATTCAACGATCAACTTCTCCCTACTCTAGTCCAATTGTGTGTGTAAGGAAGAAGGACGGATCACTCCGTTTATGCGTCGACTATCGGAAGCTAAATGCGAAAACTGTCCACAACCAACATCCAATTCCACGAGTACAAGATGCACTTGATTCCTTAGGAGGAAGTCACTGGTTCTCACTCCTGGATCAAAGCAAAGCATACCATCAGGGTTTTGTTAAAGA